GCAAGACCTAAATGATTTGAATGAATAAGTTGGAAATATGTGCACTGAAGGATTATTGGGTCTTACAAGTTCTACAAGAACGCAACTATGAATACTTTCAATATTAAAAAATATTAAGCTTAATAAAAAGACTTACGAAGAATGACATCTTTTCCTTCAAACTAATTTTCTCCTTCAATGTACCGTACTACCTCTGGTCGTCTCTTCGATACAGTAGTATAAGTAAATTGGAGAATAAAAAAAATTGGCTTGCGTGGAAATCAGGGAATCAACATCTACTTCAGAATGCTCTCTACAAGTGCATGCAGCTGCTTTTCACATCTTTTTTTCCACATTAATTGAGCAATAAAAGCATTAAAACGAGCTACTCACTGACAAATGCAATAAATTACGGATTGAGAGTTCCGAGAAATTGGAAAATATTGAACTTCCAATTAATAAGCGCCGCAATCACATTAAAATGAATGAAATGGATGATTAACAGCCGACAGGAGAGCAACGGAGGAGCCGGCACAGCGCCGCATAAGCAGGCGCATACAAATGCACGGAGGTAAAGAACCACCAGCACCAAACACACACACATACTTATGTACATATGTGTATATAAACTACGCTCGGAGGACAATCGAATTATGAGCTAGGGAACGGGAAACTCTGCAACCACCACTCGCCAACATGTGACACATTCGATAATATCGTGTGTATGAGTGTCTGTCTATATGCTTGGCTCAGCTGTGTTGCGGCAGTGACTGTCTTTTTTATGATGTGAATTTTATGAGAGGCTTTTCTCGCTATGGCCTTATATATATTAAATACCTGGCTGTATGACTGTGAAAATGTATATGGAATTAATGCAACGATAACTGCAACAACAACGCAATTTACAATAACACATAAATTTTCCGTTGTATTTTTCTGCATTAAACTTGCAATAAAGTTAATGAGACATGCCGAAAGCTGGAAAAGCGAGTGTAAAAGAAAAATCAGCATTTAATATGAAAACGAAGCGGTCGTGTATGTGTTAATGTTCTTGTTGTTATTACACACATACACATATACACGATTATTTAATAAAAAAATCATAATTTTCGACTGCTTGCTGTTGTTGGCTGGCTTTTTCGCTTCTATTTGCAATAAATATGCACGTTGTAGTTGTTTTTGTATATAATTTCATTATTGGCTGATGCTAAGAAGGAAAGAGCATGGGGAAGTCAAAAACTGTGCCAAGTGTTTTTAATATGCACAATGCTAATTTATAAAAGCAACGACCGCAAGTAAAAGCAAAAATGGTAAAAGTTATACAAACAACAGCAACAACGAAATTTTAGCATATTAAGGGCTTGTTGAAGCTGTAAGAGAGGCCAGCGTTTGCTTTTACTGATTGAAGTCAATGCAATTTAGCGTTGTTATATTTTTTTCGAAGTAAACTCGATGAGCGCTCGTCAGATTTAAAATCAGGCTAAATTTCGGATTTAAAGAGGATTTTATACTACTTTATGTATACTTGTATATACAGTGCGTTCAAAAAATAACGTTTTCATTTTCCAAAGTTTAGGCAGCGTTATTGGGAAAAATATTGTAATTATAGAAAGTACATTGTTTTGTTATAGCTGATGCAGCAGAATCATTATCTTCTTGCAGTATCGAATATGTTTGCTAAGGCATTTCAGCTGACATCAGTTATTTCTATGAAGTTCCTCAAAACCAAAATTCATGAGCAGAGCAGCATTCATATACATCTGATGCTGTGGCTGCTTAACACTGCTTTAAATAAATGTTTGTCTTTTCTTAGCCATCCTATGTTTCCAAGAGTTAACATACAATAAGTTGACTATCTGTAGAGTAAATATTACATTTCTTCAATTAGATTGATGTTTTCCTGCGCCGATAATTTTATTCAATGTTGTTGGTAGTAGGTGGTTTGATTACAGTAATGCTGGTTTAATGCCAAATCTCTGAAGTCTGTCCCTGTTGTATTTAGAGATATATCGTTGCTTAAAAAGAAACTTAGCTTCTCCTTGACTGAGCAGGTTACTTCTTAAAAAGAGAATAAAGCTGTCCTCACTTTTAGATTCACGGATATCTTCTTCTTCTTGACTTTTCATCTCAGCATCTCCATAATGGTCAGACCACCTTTCACAAATTTACAATTCGGATTTACTAAATACATGCAGTTAATAGTCCATTTGGGATCTTTAATATATTATGCGTCAGAAAGGCTGCTTCAAAACTTTCTCAACTGAGCACTCAGTTTCTTATTTCACAGCACGATGTGGTCATATTGAAGAGTCGAAAAAAACACGACCGAATTATACGCGTCATGACCGCTATTGGACATGCGTTAATTGCAAAAAGTAAAAGCAGTTTCTCGCGAATCGTTTGCGCAAAGGAAAACGCAATTCTTTAATAAATTTCAATTAAATGGTTCCAATGTTCAAACAGACTTCGGTTAAGTTCAATAATTCTTATATAACCAATGACACCTGATTACAAATCTGACATTATCGGAGACTGTCATTTGGAGTGAACAACAAGCTCTACTAGAAGAAAAAAATTGTGTGTGTACTTCGTTAATAAAAATTCTTATAAAAGTACGTCAGTAACTCCGAGATGCTTCAATCATACATGAATAGTGTGGTTGGATACTGCGAAGTCATGGCTTTTGTTTAGCGCTGACGAATATGCCATTAGTCCGAATTCAGACGTGATAACTTTGTTGCTTATTGTCGGCAACTTCTCTTGTATTGTTCATTCCGTTCATACAAGCGAGTCCGGCCCGACAACACGAGTTGTGCATTTCCGCGCTTTACGGATATCATATTTTTAATCTGCTTATTCAAAATATATTTGTAAAATATTTCCGTTATTTATCGTTACTACACCAAGGAAATATATTTGGAAAGAGGACAGGATTACGCGGCAGCGAACTGTTACGAATAAGAGCACTAAGCGTGTGTCCGAACAGGAGCAACTCGGTGCGTTTCGCTATGTTTCATCATCGCCCCGAAACCCAAACCACGTAGCAAAGTCTTGGTGTTAGCCAGCGCTTAGTTCAAGTGAGCTACCACGAGCCGAGAGCATTTAGCGTGTTGTCCATAAAAAATTTGTGTTTGTGTAAGTGTGTTGTTGCGTCAAAAAAGTTTAGTCAGCTACGACGGTAAGCACCCTTATTATACTCTCGCAACCTGTTGCTACAGAGTATAATAGTTTTGTTCACCTTAACGGTTGTTTGTATCACCTAAAAACTTAATCGAGTAGATTAGGGTTATTGTATATATAATTGATCAGGATGAAGAGACGAGTTAAAATCCGGGTTGACTGTCTGTCCGTCCGTCCGTCTGTCGTCCGGTGCAAGCCTCTAACTGAGTAAAAATGAGATATCTTTATGAAACTTGGTAGACTGTTTCTTTGGTACCGTGAGACGGTGGTATTGCAGATAGGCGTAATCGGGACCACTGCCACGGCCCACAAAACGCCATTAATCAAAAAACAAATAACTTGCCATACCTAAGCTCCCGCAATAAGATAAGCCTGTTATTTGGTACCACAGGATTACATTTAGGGGAAGGCATCTGCAGTTTAAATTTTTTTTTTTAATGTGGCGGTGTGGTCCCCCGCCTCTAATAGGTTTAATTGCATATCTCCTAAACCGCTAATGCTATAATTACAAAATTCATTAGTAAGCAAATTATTTTTAGCACTTCTATTGACGGTGTGAAAAATAGTTTGAACATCGGTTGGCAAAACTCCGCCACCTCCCCATATTAACGGTACTGTTAAAAACTACAAAAGCGCGATAAACCAAGCACTAAACACGCCAGGAGACATTAATTTTTTCTCTGGGATGGTAGGAGATGACTTTATAGAACCGCGTTTCAAATTAGACAGTGGGGTGGCACAGCCACTTTTAGGTGAACACCCATTATCTTTGAGATCTGCTTAACCAATTTCAACGAAATTCGGTACATAACGTTCTTTTCATGTTTCTAATTTATATGCGAAAAATGGGCGAAATCGGATACAACCACGCCTATTTCCCTGTGCACCACTATGCATATCAAGCAACAATGATTATATCGGGGTTTAAAACTTTGCGTGAATAATACGTTTAGTAGCCACCTTGTGACCAAAATTGTCTAAGCCGGATCGAAACTGTTTCAAGCCCCTAGTACTAAAATATGTGGACCCCAGTGCCTATTAGTTGACCTTCTACCGAAAATATCAGTTTCAATCCACAAAGAAATCTCAAACGAGTTGTACCATTTGACTTTCGAGAGTATAAAATGTTCGGTTACATCCAACTTAGCCTTTCCTTACTTGTTTTAAATGTGATCACGCTGCTTAGACGAGCATTTTCTCTGATATTTTTCATCCATTAGCCATTGATTGATTCAGCTTTATTATAAAAGATCTTTGCGTTTGAGTTCGTTGCACCACTTTATAATCACCAATAGATGATAGTGATATCTTCGTGTATCCATAGGTTATTTTTTGCATACAATATTGTACTTAACTTCGACAAAATTCAGTTGTAGCTTGTTAAGAGATCAAGGCGGAGAGCGACAGTGTGACATTTTATATTATTATTCAGTAAAAATTATGTAAATATAATTTAATATTGTGTATTTTAATATATTTTATAAACGTTTAACTTTTAAAAAATCAAATATTCGTTCCTGCCAAACTGCTCGTACGCAAAGTAAACATGGCAAGCATGTAACCAAAATTAAATTTCAAATTTCTACGCTTAATTAGCGAGGCGAACACGAATACAACGCATTGCCTGTGCTGCTTGCTGACCGTAGTTTTGTTACATTTCAGCGCAAAATGTAGAGCAAATATGGAAAACAAGCAAACCGAGAATATAATTTTGAAACAGCAACAAGCCGTTAACCCTAACAGCAACAACCTAATTTAAAATGAAAATAAAAGCAAAACGAAACCTGGCATGAGCAACAACTCGATACAAAACTGAAAATTCAGCGAATAATTAAACTCACCTGCTGCGTGTAATGGAAAAAGAGCGCTGCAAAAGCTGCACTACACTCGCAATTGTATGATTGTATGCTTGTGTGTCCTTGCTGCCGCACAGTTGCGCTTGCGAAGTTCTCGCTCACTCGTGGGAGGTAGCTTTGGCTAGTTGCCTACGTGCTGGGCCGCCGTAAAAGAGTTAAACGGAGTGGCGCCCAACGCTTCACACGTGCCCAGGTTAGTTATATGACTGTAGGTGTAGTGTGGGTGTTCCGTTGTTTGCCCGTTGTTGCACTTGTTAATGATTCACATCCACTTTCCGCATGCGAAGCAGCTTAAGCGCCATTCATGCAACTGGACACATATAACTGCAAGTATAAAAGCAAAAACACCAAACATAAATGCATAAGCCAGTGTGTGGGTGCAATGCGATTGAAGTGCTTATTCATAATGAGATATCTGTGTAAAATTCTAATCAAACTTGTGTGTGTGTGCTTGACTTTCAGCTCGTCTGCGTAGTTTACAGATTATTTGGCTTCTTGTTTTTGTTTTGCCTATTTTGTGTTCATTTTGTGGCTCTCTTTGTTTGCTGTGCTTAATTAAGCGATAAGCCAGTGGCTGTTTTCTGTGTGCGTGTGCTGTATTAGTGCCCGCAGTTGTGTGATCTTAACTCATGCCGGCAGGTATCAGCTATGAAGTGGACGGTAGGGCGCCTGTTGGCATGCTAAATAGCTGTTGAGTCTCTCTTCATTCATTCTTATCTCAGATTGCACACATATTTAAGTGCGCTGTGAGTGCGCCCTAGGTAGGCTTGCCATTTGTAAATACACTTACATATTTGGTTTGCTTTTGTTCGAGATTGCAGCAATGCGTCGGGCACGATGCACTGTAATTACCGGCTAAATGTTTTGACTGAGAGACTAGCCATTTAGGTATGTGCGTGTGTGTGTGAAATAGTGCATGTAAGGACAACACGAAAATAATGCAATGATTTATAGCGTCAAAATGCTGGCTGCACGAACTACCTAAATACGGTGCACATATATCTATGTATATAAAGATGCGTGTAGACTGATGAACATTGATTTTGTTTTCACATTGGATATCGAAGCTATTTCATATATATTGCTCGACGTTCGCTATTAATTTATTACTATGCCGATCTTTAAAGAACAAACCATCTTCTGAGGTAGCGTCATTTTAGCGAAGGAAAGAATGCTCACTCATTAAAATTTTCTGACCGGTAACAACGACATTACACAGTATTTTGCAAAATTTTGATGATTGAAAATTCAGTTTAGTTATAAAGCATAAAATCGCAAGTGTCTCTTTGCAGTTGCATTTCTTGACCATAAGAATGGTAGAATGGCTTGGAGATGCACGTTAAAACTAATCTAAACGATATAAAATGCCAAACTATACGGATTATTATGTAAAACTGTAGTTTTGTACAAAATTTCTTCGGGACGAGGATTTTAAAATATAGCCGTGGCACTAATAACTGCAATGTATATATCTCTAAACAATTCGAGCTAAATGACCCAAATTTGCACAAATTATTTTAACCTCTCCTTCGACAGTGTGAAAATGGATGTAATCGACTGATAACCCCGCCCACTTCCCATATAACGGTTTAGATAAAAACTACTAAAAGTCGATATGTCAATAACGGAATGGATCAGAGACATTAAATTTTACATCCGGAATGGTACAAGAGGTTTTATAGAGCCGATGTCAATATAGGATGATAAGCGTGGACCGCCCATATTTAGTAAAATCACATATTTACGGAACTACTTAACTAATTTAAATACAGTGTTATCGGCGAAATCAGTTTAAACCACGCCTACTTTCCATATGCACAATTTTAAATTCCATATGATTCCAACATTTTCCAGTATACGAATCAGGCATTAAAGAATATATCGGAACAACCCAAATAGGGTTCTTTGAGGTACACTTCAGTAAGGTAGGTTACTTCCAGTGCCTGGTGCAACTTTTTACAAGAAAAAACAATCAATCTGTGAGATTATTATTGCATTCGGATAGAGTTTCTATCAGATAATAGTATGCCTTTGTGTCAATAATGGAATGAATCGCGTCAATACGTCCCTAAGTCCCCAATGCCTTATCGAAATATTTTTTTAACTTCCGTTTCTTTCATACCGCTATATCGCCAATATTTGAGATATCTTATTAAAATTAAGTGCATATATTTTTTTATAAGTGCATATTTGTGCCTAACGTAAGAAAAATCGGGTCAAAACTTGTCCTAGCACCCATATAATTAGTCCAGATATAATAAGTTTTCAAACATCCGGTATACTGGTTTTACTCTATATATGTTGGTGATGATATGTGTGGTACCTTAATGAAATTAAGCGAGCATTTTATTCTGTTAATAGTATGTTGCATAACCAAAAATTTATAAAATCGGGTCAATACTACCCCTGTCTCTCATATACCTAATATAAGATTTTCAAACATCCGGTTGGCCGCCTGCCATATATTATATATCAGTCAATAAGTGAGGTATGTTAGCAAAATTAACTAAACATATAATATTGGATATACCATAGTTTAATTCCGAAGAGTTGATAATATTACAGAAATTTTTTGGGGCCTCTATTTTATCAAAAGCACAAATATTTGAGTGGCGCAAAGCATTCAGTGAAGGTCGTGCAGTCATCGAAAACTTGTCTCTTGCGAGTTGTGCATCCACCGTTGTAAGAGATGATAATATGGAAAAAGTTAAAAAGACAGTGCTTGAAAATCGTCCTGTTGGCACCAGGAAAATAGCAGAAGATCTCAAAGTCTTTATGGATCAACTCAATATATTCGGATTAATGTTTTGAGTATGAAGCTTGGCAATGCTAGGCTCGTACCAAAAGACCTGATACTTTTGCAAAAATGACGTCGAGAAGAGGTCACCGAAGAGATGCTTAACAACGTAGCTGAGGACTGTACACTCTGCATCATTACTAGTGACGGAATGTGGGTTTATGAACATTACGTCGAAACGTTTAACAATTTATTGCATGGGGCAACAAATTTGAACTCCCGCTGCAGGTCTTAAGTATTTTTTTCTAAAACAAAAAAATTTTTTTTATAACTTCGTTAATTGATCCGAAGTTCTAACTGGTCATAATAGAACTCTTCAAATTATTTGCAAAGCACACGTCAAAAATTTTGAACGCAGATCTACTGATAATCTAAATTGGCGGAACCAAATTTAATTAGTTTGCAATTCATACTCTAAACTCCGTTATTGCTTTAGCGCTCCAATTCGCCACAAAGTGCTCTTTAATTAACTAAATTGCGTCGCCACTGCAAAAGCATGCTGCCACCCGTGCACACCGCCAACCGCTATTGCGTCTTCAGCAAGTTTAAATGCAAACAACTTGCAACGCCGCATGCCACACATTTAGATTTTACACGACGCCTTTCAAGGAGTCGTAAAATGCAAATTCTCAGGGTAATTAAGATTTCGCCAACATGCTGGCGTGTTGCAAGAACGCATTGCGACAGACACGCCCCTATACATACATAGTGGCTGCAGGAACGGATGTATGTGTGGGACAAAGCGGCGACCTCGACTAAGCACAATGAAATTGGAAAATGCAACGAATGAAGACGCCACACGCCGCTGTCGCCTAAGGCAAGCAACAAAGATGGCAAGCGGCGCGGCGCAAGGTAAGACGTAAACGAAGACAGTTTAGAGGAAAAAATGCATATTTGGAATGAGCGAAGAATGTAAAACATGTGGTGCAACGCGGTGGTAAAAACGTTGACAACAATGTCTGTGACTTGCAACATACTTGTCTACGTGTATGTGTATGTGCGTGTGTGTGTATTTAGGAATGCAACGCTGCATTTGCATAATTCAAATTGCCACAGTAATTGGTACTGTTGCCGTTGTTTTTGCTGCTATTTGCAACAATGTCGCCTTTGTGACATTCATGCCGCGGCTGGCAGCGCCAACATTAGCTAGGGCAGTCACATAGGCGGCAGCTAGTTTTTGTGGCACAAACATCTATATGTGGCATTATCACACTGTAGGCAAAGGAAGTGCAACACACGAAAGTGCCTGCATATTTCGGTTTTTTCTTTCAAATTCTTTGCTTAGTGCGTGTAGTAGTTGTTGTTGTCACTCATTTTGTGCAACTAAAAATGCTAATGGATTTAATTGAGTTGCGGCACTGCCCGAAATGACATTATGCCAAGTGAGTGAGTGAGTGAAGCTCAACTGGCGCAAGGTAATCTCCGCAACGCCTATAAGCCTGTTATATGCGTGTGTGTGTATTTGGCCAGCAAGTCATTAGAAATTTTACATACACGCACTAAGTCCTAAGAAACCCATATAACCTTGTATGTATGACTGTGTAGCGTTTTTTATGGCTTTTAGTAAACTGTAAAACTTTGCATTTAGTCCAAGGCAATTTTGATGCGAAACGGAAAAATGCTCACATTTGCAATTTCGTGCCCCATTTAACTCGCAATGCTGCACATAAATTGTACAAGAAATATTGCCACATTTTTATGCGCTCACACAGACTGTCGCAAAGTTTGTAACGCATTATCTCCGCAAAAATTTCATTATATTTGTTTTTGAAAATATTCTTTTTTGCTACAATAGTTTTTTGGCTGACAGATTAATTGTGGTGTAAAATTGTTTGGACAGCACAAGCAACTTAAAATCTGGTATTACTAATATTCATTACTAAAATATGTATGTGGATGTGTATAGGTCATTCCATTCAAAATTAATATTAAACAAATTTTTACGTGCAAACCATTGTTTTTTGGTGTCTTTGAAGCACTTTTATTTTATTTATTTTTTTTATTTCGACATGATTTGAAAAATTTTCGAGTTACGAATTTTCAAAATTTCAACGCATAATGAAAAAAAAAAAATTTAATAAAAAAACTGAATAAAAATAGTTCCAAATTGGAAAAAATTTACATTTTTCTTTTAAAATATATAAATTTATTTATAAAAATAAGTTGAATAAATGTAACGTATATCTCTTTGGAGTGCTGAGAAAAAATCGTAAACATTAGGCCGACTTGTTATTTTTATAATGAAGCACATTTTTTCGTATACACAAATGCTTAAAGGTACTTTTTTCGAGCGTTGAAATTTTGAAAATTGTGTTAAAATAAAAAAATAAGTGCCCAATACTTCGAATCACAAAAAAAGTGTTTTGCATGAAAAATGATTTTGAATGTAAATTTTGTATGTACCATTTCTATTTTTCCTTAAGTTTTCAATTATCTGTTCCCTGGTTTAAACTCAGAAGCACACAGATTTTGGTCTTTTGTCTTTTTTTGTGCGCAACTCAGTGCAGACTATGCACCTAAGAGCAAA